CTTGGGTTACTCTGCCCTGTTTGTTTTAAGGTTTGAGGAGTCTTTTTTATCTCTTATCTTTTAGTGTGGAAATTTGCATTTTTTTTCCTTAGCTGGAGTAGTTTTGCTAAGACTGTACTTACTAGACTAAATAGCATATTTAGCAAGCTCAAAGTGGCACATTTCACTCAAATCTAAATAGATTTTTACTCTGTTAAATTTTTACTCTCTCTCATTAGAGATGCAGGGAGGCTGGAACCTCTTGGTAGTAAAGACCTTCACTAAACCCTGCACTCCTGCAGGATGAGAGGTGCTCATACCCCACTTGCAGGACCTGGAGGGAGGGTGTGAGGTCCCTGAGTCACCCAGCGTGTCACCCCTTGGGCTCCCTGCCAGCACACAGCCACCAGCCTGGCCGTGACAGGGACAGGACAGCTCCAGTCCAGGGCTGGAGGGGTGATGGGAGCTGAGAGCTGATGGAGCCATCCTTGCAAGTTTGGCAATCCTGGCCAGCAATACTTGGCCCAGAGGCAGCTGGAAACGTGGGGAGCAGAGATGAGGCTGGGCAGGTTGGGGAAAAGAGGAGGAGCCTTGTGCTGTGTCTCCTGGTTTTCTCACCCGCAGCATAAAATCCTAAGGCTTGCCAGCATCTTCTCACTCATAGATCTGGTCTAAGATTTTGCAGGACAAGGCATTTCAGATCAACCCTGAAAATTAATTAGCTTACTTTATATGTAAAAGACCTGATAACTCATGGTGGAGAACTGTGACTAACTCCTGGTGCCACTAATTGTTGATGGGGATTTTTTCTCTTGGAGTTGGGGTGTCTTTTGGTGGCCTTGATGGAGTTGCTGAAACTTCACTCAGATTTTCTCTTGACTCATGTTGCACAACAATAGCTTTGATTTGACTTTTTTTTTTTTTTTTCCCTGCATTATTTCAGGACAGAAGAAAAGAAAATCCTGCCCAATATCCTCAAGAAAATTGGCTGCACCCCAATGGTCCAAATCAACAAGATTGGGAAGTCCTATGGGCTCAAGTGTGAGCTCTGTGAGTGTCCCCTTCCCACCAGGTTTTTGCATGCCACGAGGTGAGGGTGAGGGGTGGTGCTGGAGGGGGGCTTCAGAAGAGGCTCTGTGAGAGGAACATGGATGGGGAGGGGCAGATGTGGCTCATGTTGGCCTCTCCTGCTTATTAGGCAGTAATTTCTTGGGCCAAACAGGAGGTTTCAAGCAGCAATGAGCAGGGGGGCAATAGTAGTGAGGAATCTCTCCTGCCAGATAACAGCAGCATAAGCTCAGAGCGGAGCTGGCCTAAATTTGGGGATGGATCTAAGCCCTCTCCCCAAGGAGATGTTAGCTGCTGCTGTCTCAAGTAAGGCTTGGCTTTAGGCTGGTGCCCTACAATCACGAGGATGACAAACTCAGACCTGTGCATGTGGACTTCTCAGTCTCCTTTCCTATAACTCCTAACCCTAATGGTTAATTTGATCCAAACTGGGCCAAAAGGCAGATTCTGCAAGGCAGAGAGTGCCATGGGTGTCACACAGCTGAGCACTCATCCTTCATGCAATGGCCCAGCAGAGCCCTGCAGGGCTGGGTGGCAGCTGGGAACCCCACTGAGCCCTGGGGAGCATGCTGGGCGTTCCCACCTGATCCCTCCTCAGCATCTGGGATCCTTGGGCCACCAACCCTGCGACCTCCACCTGCACTGCCTCACCCTGCCCACGGTGAGAGCTGAGGGGACACAAGGGGGAGAGCTGGTGGAGGTGGGGGGACAGATGTGCAGCGCCTGGTGCTGCTCTGGAGCAGCCTTGGAGGATGCCTGGCTGGTGCTTTTGGGTGCTGGGAAAGGCAGGCAGATCCCATTTTCTGGGATGGTGTCTCCCTCCCCTGGTGCAGGAGGGGAAGGAGAGCAGAACAGGCAGAGCAGCTCCACAATCCTGAGCTGTGTGCCAGCCCAGAGCCCCTTCCCCAGCAAACACAGGAATTCCTGCAGCACAGCTGCCTCAAGGAAGCAGCACAGCTGGATGTGGTTTCCTGGTGTTTGCTGTGCCCCCAGGGATCCTTGTGCAGCTGCAGTTGTGGCACTTTGCAATATAAAACCTAATGATCAGCACAAGATTTCCTTTCCCGTTCAGGCTGCTCAAGCACAGGGCTGATTTCTCAGCCTCAGGTCGCTGTCTCTGCCAGGCTGAAGTGAAACACCCCTGGAAATCCCCATTTCTCCCCGTTGTTCATAAAACAGAGCTCAGTAGCACCAGTTCAGTTGCAGATGTCCATCAAAGGCTTGGTAAGAAGAATCCTGTGGTGTGGAGGCTCCAGTGAGGACTGAGATGTGCCTTGCAATCTGAACGTGCCTTGGAAAGTTACTTGCTTTGTCGCTAGCTCAGTGAAAGAAACTGTAATTTGGCCTGACACTTGAAAATGTTCTCTCTATTGTTTGGGATTTTTTTATGGCATCTCAGTCAGGACTACAGATCACCCCCACAAAAGAGGAGCTTTTTAGGTATCTCTGAAAAACCTCAATGCCTGGATAGACAGTGAGACCTTGCTGCTAAACCTTGCCCACAGAAGAGTCCTCGAGGACTGTTGTACCAGTGTGGGACCTTGCAATGACCGTGTCCAGCTGATTTAAAACCCATCCTGGGCTGTCCAGGTTGACTTCAAACCCATCCAGGGTGGAGGAAACACGGGGGAAAGAAAGACTCTGCGCTGATGGATAATTCCAGAAAAGCAGATGGTGGATGCATTCCCCTGAGCAAAGGTGTCCCAAAACCTCACTGAGGCCTGGAGAAGCAAGGAGCTGGTGCCTGATGGAGTCTCCCCTTCCTTTCCCTTTCCAGTGGCAAAATGTGAGTACTTCAATGCCGGGGGCAGCGTGAAGGACCGCATCGGCCTCAGGATGGTGGAGGATGCAGAGAGAGCTGGGATTATCAAACCAGGAGACACCCTGATTGAACCCACTTCAGGAAACACAGGTGGGAAGGGCAGGGATGCTCCCTCTGCCTGGGAACTGGGCAGGGAGGAATTTCTGAGCAGCAGGGATTTGAGGAGCTCTTGCACTTGGAGTTACAAGGTGGGCTCTGGCTCCATGTCCCCTCAGCTCCTCTCCTGGTGGCCATGGGCTTCCTGGGATGATGAGGTGACTCCTGAAATTCCTGAGGGTCCTGTGAGGATCTCACACCCACACAGGTGTGCCTGGAAGGTCTCCTTGTGGCAAGGCAGGCAGCATCAGGAGCTGGAGCATCCCTGGGTGTTTTCAGGCTGGGAAGCTTTTGAATTCTCAGGGATTCCCAGAGACCATTCTCCTGATGGGTTGGAAGAGAATTCCTGTGTTTTTTGCCCTTGTTGCTGTCGCTTGTCACCCCAGCCACCCCAGACATGGAGCCAGGGGGATCTGTGCTCCCCAGAGCTGTGTCCCATGTGGATCACACTGGCTCCCTGCCTGCCTGGGGTAGCTGGAATGGCACCAGGCTCCCTGCAGCCCCTGGCAGGGACACGCTGCTCCTTCCTGCTGCCTCACCTTCCTGCTCTGGCTGGGAGCAGCTGGCTCCATCCATCACCCCCGTGAAACCAGAGCAGAGGTGCCCTTCGCCTGCTGGAGTGACATGTAGAGTCCTGTGTGTCTGCCCCTCACAACTGACAGTGCTCGGGGGGGAGGCACTCCTGAAGAAAAACCCCTTCCCTCCTGTGTTTCCCAAAGCCACAGGAAGATGCCTGAGCCTCGGGGAGGGGAGAAAAGCTCTCCCCAGCCCTGCCATTCTCCCAGTGCCAGCCCTGGGAGCAGGAGCAATGCTGCAGCTCCACTGCCTGTCAGCACATCCTCCCACACTCCCTGTGCTCCCAGCACACCCCAGGTGAGGATGCCCTCACCTGTGGCTTGTCAGTGACCTTTTCATGGTTGCATCCAGGAGGAGGAGGAAGGTAGGAAGTGCCAAATGCTGTTGTCAACCAATTCCCTTTGCTCCCCACCACGCAGGAATTGGACTGGCACTGGTGGCTGCACTGAAGGGTTACCGCTGCATCATCGTCTTGCCAGAGAAAATAAGCTTGGAGAAGGTCAGAGCTCTGTATGGTTTTACCCCACAGCTGGGGAACATCTCCTTCCTCTCTCTCTCTCTGCCTCTCCCTCCCTGGAGCCCTCTCCTTTAAAGGTAAATGAGCCTTGCACACCCACTGCCACAGCTGCTCTTCAGAACGTTGCTTCTTGAGGGAAAAAAACAGCCTGTGATGGCCTGGTGGCTGTCTGGTGTCAGAAGTGCAGCTGGGGTGGTGGCAGAGCCAAACACAGCGTGTGGCTGCAGAGAAACAGAGCAGGACCTGCTGCCTGTGAAGCTCAGCAGGAGAGGCAGGCAGCTGCCAGGGCTATCCTGCCAGCCCTGCTCACTTCCCCTCTGGCAGCTGACAGGTCACTTGGCCCCACGGTGTATTTATGGTTTTCTTTCACCTGGAGACACTTAGAGCTGCTTTCTCAGGGTGGTGTCTCAAGACCTGATGGTCAGGTGAGCACACCATGCTGGAGATGGCAGAAATCCCTCACTGGTGAGCCAGGAGCCTCACAGACCACTCAGCTGAACTCACACTAGTGAAGCCAGATTTGCACCCTGACCTGGCTCAAGAATGAGCCCTTCTCCAAAGTGCCACCCTCAATTCAACCTACATCTCACTCAAGCTCAGCCTGGATCAGATGCCACCCCCAGCTGCCATGGGCTTCATCTCCAGGTGTCCCAACACTGCCCCATCCCACTGACAGCCAGATCTCCTAGAGGAGACACCCTAGGGCTGATTGCTCCTTCCCTGTCTTTAGTGAGAGAAGGGACTTGGGGCAAAACCAGCTTTTTGATCACCTCCTTTCACGCTGGGGCTCCAGTCCCAGCACACAGGAGACACTGCTCCCTGTCCAGTTCCCTCTGCCCTTTTCCTCTGGCACCCAGGAGCAGCACACTGTCACCTCCCTCCACCCTGTCCCCAGCCTGCCCTCCAAGTAGGACAGGGCAAGATGCCAGGCTCGAATCCATGTGCCAGCCTCAGGCAGGAGGCCCTGGGCTTCTAGGAGCATGTCAGAGATAGCAGAGTCCAGAACTGGACACGGTATCTGCACATGATAAACCTCTCCTGCATGCAAAGCTGCTCTGGCATCTGGCACTGCCCTGAGACCACAGGTTCAGGTTCCCATCCCTGCGTGGGATCAGCTGTGCTGCAGCTCCTCTTTTCCCTCCCAAAGGTCGATATTCTGAAGGCTCTGGGTGCTGAAATCGTGAGGACGCCGTGCGCCCGCTTTGATGCCCCCGAGTCCAACATCCGTATTGCCTGGAAGCTGAAAAGTGAAATCCCAAACTCTCACATCCTGGACCAGGTAAAGGCCGTCCCCACACTGACTCTGTTTCCCAAGAGAGTTTATAGGGTGTTCTCCAAGTGTGCCTGTGTTTGGGGGCTCCATTTGAACTGGCACCAGAGGCAGATTTCGTCAGTGTTTTATGGCATTTGAAACTCAATCACTTCTCTGCAAAGCACAGGGGGACAGAAACAAAATAAGGGACACTTCAAAACCTGCAACGCTTCTGCCAAAGCCTGGATGTGGGCAAGGCTGGGTTTTCTTGCACGGTTCTCCTCAAATTGCTTCAGATTTAACTTTGACCTGAAAAAAACCAATTTTTAAAGCCTAGTTAACAGCCTCTGTTCTGCCTCAAAAATATACTTCATGCTGTAAAGGGCACACCCTGGTGACTCCTGTCAGAGGTTCCTGCAGTACTGGGTCTTGGACAGGTGGGCACTTGGTCTGACCCCTGAGTGAGGAGTCCCTGGAGTGCAGAAAAGCCAGACAAGCTCCTTCCTTCTGAGAAAAAAAAAAAAAAAAAAAAAGTCGTTCAAAGACTGAATGAGCTTTTCAGCTCATTTTTGATCCATGGGTGTGAACGTGGGGTGCACAAATACCAGTGCTGCAAAATCCCTCTGTGCATGAGAGCTGAGTGATGATCAGGACAGCTTCTCCAGCCCACAGCTCCCAGCTTCTGAACCACCCCCACACCTAATGGGCACCAGGAGCTGGAGAGTGAGTGTTTGTGGGCACACTTGTGGAAAAACCCCACGTGGGCTTGGAAATCTGTCCCAAAAAGGCCAAACAGGAGGAATAGCTGCATGCTTTGGGTACAGCTCTGTCAGGAGCTGTTGCTGGTTTGGTATTTGACCTGCTCTTCACGTGGTAACTCCTGCTGTTCTCTGCTGGAACCCACAGTACCGAAACCCCAGCAACCCCCTGGCGCATTACAACACCACGGCCGAGGAGATCCTGGAGCAGTGTGAAGGTACCGTCTGTGCTGAGGGCTGTAACCCTCTCTGAGAGGCTGAATTTACATCACTTATTGACCTGAATGTCTAGAAACAGCCCAAAGGGCCTCTCTAGGGGCAGGCAGTACTATCTTAATAACACTGACACACACAGGGTGTAGCAACCTCTCCTAATCCACTCCAGGTACACCTCAGCCTGCAGGGCCTCCCAGCCTGGGGGAGGAGAGCAGAGCCTTAAGAAACTCAGGTTGTACCTAAAGGAGAAAGAACATGTCTCTTGGTGGCCACAGTGACCTGCCAGCTGGGAGCACAAGAGATCCCACGGGGCCTTGGAGGGGAATATAAATCCACCAGGACATGGCAAGGCTCCATCTGATCCATCCAGCACTCTCATTTGTAAATCAAAACAGACTGAAACCTCACAAATAGTGATGCTGGAAGGGAGGGCTGGGGGAGGATAAAGGGCTATCCCAGTCCATGTCTGTGAAGATAGAAGTGAAATTTATTGCCAGTTCTGGGAGCACTGTGAAACGTGACCAGGACTTGAGGATTTTAACTGGAGAGCAGTTATCAGAGCAGTAAAGCAGTCAGGTATCAATGGGAACAAGAGAGGCCCAGCCTTCCCTCCACTACAGAGTGGGGATTTGCTCCAGCTGGCTGCCAGGGTTGCAGGTCCCCTTTCCCAATGCAGCTGCAGCATCTGGTTCTGAAGGCCAGACTCCAGTTCTGCTCCTACCAGCCCTAAACAACAGGACACAGGCTCAAGCTACACCATGGAAGGTTTAGGTTGGATAGTAGGAAAAAAATTTTCACTGAAAGAATAATAAAATACTGGAATTGTCTTCCTAGGGAGGTGGTAGAATCACCATCTCTGGATATGTTTAAAAAAAGACTGGACATGGCACTTGGTGCTATAGTCTGGTTGTGGTGTTAGGGCATAGGTTGGACTTGATGACCTTAGAGGTCTCTTCCAACCTCATTATTCTGTGATTCTGTGATTAAATATGTATAATTTCAGTGATGCCAGTGGGGCAGCATCTGGCAGATGCAGTGCCAGGGCAGAGCTCAGCTCTCCCTCCCCTGTGGGTGCCAACACAGGCTGAAAAGTTGTGCCTGTTAGTGATAATCACGTGTGTGACTTGCTTTGATATGCTGTGGTTTGAAAGGGATGGGTGTGCTGAGATATTCCCTCCCCCTTAAGCCACAGAATCACAGAATACCCTAAGCCGGAGAGGACCCACAAGGATCATCAAAGACCAACTTCTTCCTGCACAGGACACCTAAAAAGTCACACCATGTGCCTGGGAGCATTGTCCAAACACTCCTTGAGCTCTGGCAGGTTTGGTGCTGTGCCCACTGCCCTGGGGAGCCTGTTCAGTGCCCAGCCACCCTCTGGGGAAGAACCTTTCCCTAATATCCAACCCAAACCTGCCCTGACACAGCTCCATGCTGTTCCCTCTGTTCAGCAGATGCCAAAGATGCAGAAATCATGGAGAGCTGCAGTGGGAGATCTGGAGGTCACCTTCAGCTCCCTGCAGTGAGGCAGGATGAGCTGTGCTCTGATCCTGCAAGCTCATCTGAGCTTCTGCTCAGGACCAGGCTTTGGCCACCAGCACAGCCTCTGCCTGACCTTTCCTCACGTGGGGTTCTGGTGGACAGAGGCTCTGCCTCTGCACAGGGCTCTGAATAAAGGGGAGGCCGTGCTGGGGGCTGTGCTGAGCCCTTGCAAACCCTGATCTGCAGGAAAGGTCCACATGGTGGTGATCGGATCTGGCACAGGAGGAACCATCACTGGCGTCGCCAGGAAGCTGAAGGAGAAGTGCCCGGAGTGCAAGGTAAGGCTGGAGGCAGGGCTGCCAGGGTTTTCATGGAATCACAGAATGGTTTGGATTCGAAGGGACGTTAGGGGCTGTCCCAGTCCACCCTCCTGCCATCGGCAGGGACACCTTCCACCTGACTGGGTTGGTGAGAGCTGGCCTTGCACAATTCCAGGGATGAGGCACCCACAACTTCTCTGGGCAATCTGTGCCAGGGCCTCACCACCGTTACAATAAGGAATTTCTTCCTATTATCCAATATAAATCTACCCTCCTTTAGCTCAAAGCCATTCCCCCTTGTCCTGTCCCTGCATGTCATTTCCTGCCTGACCCCATGGCTCACCTGAGGGAGCAGTTGTCTGCACCTATTTGTTCACAGCGATGGTGGCTTTTGTTGGAAGCCATTTGGTGATGTTTAGGTTGATCTAGACCCATCCAAGTGCCTTGGAAACCAAAGTTTCCACAGCCCCAGTAAAACCTCCCCCTGCCTGGTGCCTTGCCCTGTGCAGGACACTCTGGGGGCACAGACAAATACTTCTCTGCCACTGCAAAACCCTCTGTGCTTTAGGGTTAACATCAGTCACAGTGCTCATCCTGCAGAGCTCGTGCTTCAAGGCAGACTGGAGGCATGCACACACTGGTCTGGTCAGTGTGTGAGTGATCCCTGATCCACCAGAGGTGTGGATCCTTGATCCCTGATCCACTGGAGGACTGAGACACTGCTCCACATGCAGCTGTGTGTGAAGCAGTGTCACCATCACCTCAGCCCAGACACAAAGCTGCAAATAACCAGGGAGGTGTCACCATCAGCCAGCACAACTAGATCCAGAAAGGATGTCTGTATCCACGGGTTTCCACAGGTTGGAGCTCACTGGCTGGCTTCACCTAGAGCAGATTAAGGAGCTCTGGCACTGCCTTAAGGGCTGGGCTTTGGAAGTGGCAGGCTGTGCCAAAGGGGTGATGACAAACACCTTGAGAGTGATAACATTCAGTTATCACCAGTCACTTCTGCAACAGCTGAAGACTGCTGAGGATCTATTTTAAAAGAGAGTGAAAAACAGCACCTTTATATCTTGGAAGCTCTCCATGCTGCCAGTGATTAGGAATATTAATGAATATCAGGGGAAGGAAACACTGCTGATAAGGCTGTGGGTAACTTTTCCTTTTAATTTTGAGTTTGGCTGTTTCTGAATTCCCATTTTGGTCTGACAAAATGTCTTTCTCTCCAAGATCATTGGCGTGGACCCCGACGGCTCCATCGTCGCTCTGCCCAGTGAGATGAACAAGACCAACACCACAACCATCGAGGTGGAGGGCATTGGGCACGACTTCATCCCCACTGTCCTCGACAGATCAGTGAGTAACCCTGTGAAGAGGGGCCTCAGCTTGGCATCCAGCCTGTCCCCAAGGCCAGAGGTGTGCTGGCCCTGGTTTATCTTCCCAGTGCAGAACGAGCTGTTGTGGGGGGACTGGGACACCCAGTTACTTTCTGAGTAACTCTGATCATAACTGACCCACTGTTGCAGACACATTCTTCTTTCTTTCAGGGCTTTTTATAGAGGAGCACAGAAGTAAAAAGAGAAACCAATTTCTATTTCTGCTCCTTGTTTTCCCATGTGGAATGTGCTTGAAAAATCTTTTACCTGGGGCGATTGCTTGATTAGATTCTAGTGTGGATTGTTTGAGCCTGATGGCCAATCCAATCCATTTGTGTCTAGACTCTCAACAGAGGGTCAGGAGTTGTGACTTAGATATAGTAGTTAGAAAAAGTAGGTAGGTAGTTTTAGTATCTCCTTTAAAGACTATATTAATATATTATAGTATAGTTACAATAAATCATTCAACCTTCTGAACTAAAATCAGACATCATAATTTCTTCCTACCAAGTTCACCTACATTTACAATAACCCACAAGGAGAAGGCAGACAGAGGTGAAAAGCAGGCATATAACACAGTGTGAGTGTCCTCTGCTCAGCCTCACCGTTGCTCAGATGTGCCCCTTTGGCTGTGATCACACAGATGTCTGTGCTGAGGCTGCTCCTCATCACACTGCTTTCCTGAGCCTTCTCTGCCTCAGGCACCACACACAGAGAGCAGAAATCCTGCACCAGGCTGGATGACAAGATCCAAGCCCTGTAAGACAGCAGATTGTGAACCTTGTAGCTCTTTGTTGTCAAGTTCCCTCTCAGTGTGTCAGCTGCCACAGGGCTATAAATCCCTAACACAGCCTGCCTGTGTTGCCCTGGCCTCATTCTGGAAAGGTCCCTCACAGCTCAGACCCCAGATTCTTTCTGCTTCCAGGTGTTAACTACATCCCTGCTGTCAGCACATGGCTGTAGAGCTGTCACCTTCATAATGCAGACTGGTTCTTGTAGCTGGATTTTAGCAAAATCTCAACCATTAATGTACATCATAAATACTCCTCCACATCCTAACTCTGGACCTGTCAGGCATCCCTAACTTTCCAAGGAAAAGGTGCTGGCTGGAATGGTGTGGGTGTCTGCGAGCAAGAACTCCAGACCATGGATGTTCTGACAAATGCTTTCAACAAGCGTGGAAGGCAGCTCAGAGCTGCCAGATGGTGTGGGCACCAGCACCATGGTGTGCCTCAGAGGGTCAGGGCAGCCTGAAATGACATTGCCAAGACTCATGGTCCTTGCTTTCCTTCCAGGTGGTGGATCAGTGGTACAAAAGCAACGACAGAGACTCGTTCCTCATGTCCCGCAGGCTGATCAGAGAGGAGGGGCTATTGTGTGGTAAGCACAGAGCAGCCACAACAGTTTGCTCTCTTAACAAACCTTCTGAACTCTATCCTTTTGGGACCAAAACGCTCCAGAGAATAGGTGCCCTCTGCATTTTGTGTCTGCTGGGTCAGCAGGGCTGTAGACTGAGCCTCGGGCTGTGCAGAGGTCACTGCAGACTCCAGAGGTGTGTCCCTCAGTCTGCTCTGGGGTCTGACTCATCAGCCACAGTAATTTTAGAAGTTATAATTCTCTCCTTGCTGGAGCACTTTTGCAGTGGAACTGGATCTTCAGGCAGTGTAGGGTTACAGAGGCTGAAGGGAGGATTAGTGGGCTCAGGGCAGGACAGGTGGGCTCTGCCAGCAGCTCTGTGAGGCCGTGCTTGGTGTCACTGCCACACCAGAGGTGCCAGCTTTGGACCAGGAAGGTCTGAAAGCAAAGAAAGTGTGAGATGTTCTTACTGAGTATTCCTCCCTGTGCCAACAAGCTGTAAGTGATCCCACTGGCTTCCCAAAATGAACAGGTGCCCTCACACGGACTCTGCCTGTGCCCTAAGAGCCTCCACAGAGCATCAGCCTTGTTTTCAGCCCTCCCTGACACCAAGCAAACAGACACAGGTTTGCACCCAGGAGCAGACACTACGTAGGCTGATAAAAGCCCTGAGCACTCATATCCAGGGAGTTTTGGAAAAGATCAGGCTATATATATGTAATGAAACACTTAAATGTTGATTTAACCTAGCAGGCATGGAGTCACTGTGTTTCAACAGAAACCACTTGTTTGAACTCAACCATAATTTGTGAACAGCTTCGTGTTCCCTGAACTGCATTTTTCAGGGCTGCTCCTCCTTTGTTTGAAAAATGTGACCCAGGGATAATTAACCTGCTGTAAAATACGTGCTGCCTTGAATGCAGTGTGTAATTGGCACACAGATAGTGGAATGTGTTTGACTTACAGTACTCAGAGTGGTGGTGGAAGAATTGCCTCTGTAAAGCAGGGACCTGCTTTCCCTACGTGCAGCGAGCCACATGCGTGCACACAGACACGGGGAGCATTCAAGCCTTCCCATCATGTTGGCCTGGTATTCCAAGCATGAATGTAATGTTTATGGATTTTTTTTCAGTCTTTACAGTGCATTTAAAGTCAATCTTTGGCTGCCAAGTATGTCAGCCAGAAGCTCTAGAGCTGGCGTGCTCTTCTGCTCGTGTGAAGGGAGGGTGTGGTGTGGGCAGCGTGTTCTGGATGTCCCTGCGTGGGACCTTTCAGCCCTTGGTCTGCCCACAGAGTCCCCATGAGAGGTGGTTCATGAAGTCCATGAGGTGACTTTCATGCTGCCTCAAAACTCAAGAGTCACAATCTGAACACATCCCATGAGTCCCTACCTCTGCCTGGCCCTAAAGCCTGCAAGGCTTTGGGATTGATTGTCCTCCCATCCCCGTGCCACGAGGTGCCACCTCTACACCCTTAGCTGGGGCAGCCTGTGCTTCCCACTGGCCAAATGGGCAGCCCTGACACTTGTGTCCCTCTCCTCGGTGCCGTGCAGGGGGCAGCTCGGGCAGTGCCATGTCCGTGGCTGTGAGAGCTGCCCAGGACTTGAAGGAAGGTCAGCGCTGCGTTGTCATCCTGCCCGACTCCGTCCGGAACTACATGTGAGTGTCCTCCTTCCTCCCCTGCTTCCCAGCACCAGGCTGGGATCTTCCAGAGCTCCCATGGCCTCCTGTGATGGGAGCTGAGCCCAGCTGCTCGGGGTTCTGGAGAGCCGCCCCAATAAATCTGATAGCAAGGCACATGCAGTGAGCCCAGAGCTGGGAGTCTCCCTCGGGCAGATCACGGGAAAAAAAGCAAAATAAACACCAGGGAGAAGGAGCACATCCATGTGGCAGTCACCAGGGGATGGGTGTTGGGACACTTGGGGTTTATTTCCTCTCGTCACTGACTCACTGCACGCAGCAGGACTTGGCCAAGCTACATCTCCTGAGCGTGCATGCCTCAAGTTAGGCAGGCAAATAGCTGGCGTGCTTCAGAGAGTTACTGAGCACCCAATACTCCTGCTGCCCTTAAAAGGGGCTGAGAGCAGCCAGCTGCAAAAATCATGAGAGCCCCGGGGGCAGTGCTGTGGTCTGGTGCACGAAACAAAGCACGACTTCTTCTGGAAGCCTCACAGACTTGCTCTTTGTTGGTGATTTCTAGGTCCAAATTTGTGAATGATAACTGGATGATAAAAAATGGGTTCCTAAATGACGCCCAGGAGCACAAGCCTTGGTAAGACAACTTCTGCTGGGACAAACTGTGCTAAGGGAATCAGCTTTCTGAGTCTGGAAATCATTATCTTCAAAGGAAAATGTTCCCTTTTAGTGTTTAGGAAAAACAAAGTAAAGTCCAGACCCCTCTGGGGAGGCTGTAATGTCAGCTCGTCTCTTTTGGGTGGTTCTCTCTCAGCTCTGCAATCAAAGTCTATAAAGGAGCCATTTCTGTCCCAAAGTAGCTGATCCACTCCCACAGGGCAGCCCAGGCCATCTAGACCCTCTGAAAGCCTCTTTCTACTGCACATCTGACATCCAAAGGACCATCAGGCTGCTGGGGAGGTGGGTCCCTGTTGTAGCAAGCCCTCTCTCAAACAGCTCTGCAGCTCTCTTCAGGCAGGGGACAGGGAATTTTCACCTTCCAGAGCTGCTGGCCAGAAAAGATGGCCAACTCTGCTGTCCCTTGGACACCATGGGGAAGGAGTCCCCTCAGGGAGTCACAGGCAAACTGCTGATGCCAGCTGATGTGTGGCTGGGAAAATGCCAGGTGTTTAGAAAAGCTCTTGGTCTCACCCAAAAGACAGCAGGTGTTACTGATGTCTCCTTCTCCTTTACCAAAACTTATAGTAAAATATTTCCTCAAAACTCAACGCATTTCCAAGGCCTCTTGTGTCTGGTTAGAGTTGCTCTTGGCCCTTCCAGGCTCCAGCATTGCCCTGCCTTTTCTGCAAGGACTCAGGGCTGAGATGTCTGGGAGCTGCTTGTGTTCCCTCACAAACAAGCTCAGCTTGTCCCTCATAAGTCACACGAGCATCTCTGCAAGGCTCTCTCCTGCAGGAGCTGCAAGTGCTGCCTTGTGAGGACCAAGGATGCAGGACAAAGGAGTAAAACTGGTAGGTCACCCATTTATGAGCTTGAAGTGAAGGCCTCAGTAGTTTCCTTGGATTCAGGACAGCTCAGCACCTTGCCAGCTGCTGGTCTCATCCCTGCCCCTGGAGCTGCATGAACACTTGGGCATAGGGAAAGTTTTTGGCTTCAACAAGACCTGGCCGTGGTGGCATTTCTGCTTTGGGTGTAGGAGTGGGGCTGGCTTTTCAGGCAGACAGAATCCCTCATCTCCTCTGGCCTTGCCCCCTGCTGAAGGCCACAGCTGTGCAGCAGTCACAGCTCAGCGCTGCCATTTGTCTTCCAACAGGTGGTGGAACACCAAGGTGCAGAAACTGAACCTCTCGGCCCCTCTCATCCTCCTCCCAGAAGTCAGCTGTCAAAAGGCAATTGAGATCCTCCAGGAGAAGGGATACGACCAAGCTCCTGTTGTTGCAGAGTCAGGGTAATTATTTCTGCTCACTGCAGAAATCTTGGGCATTCATACAGAAAAATCAGTCGTGACAAAGATAAAGTCCCGTGTATTCATTCAGAGCTGGGGCTCTTGTGTTGGACTCTGATGCATAATTTTAGAAATATCATCTGCCTCCTCGTAAAGATTCACAATAGAACTCCTGTAAAAGATCCAGTTAAAGCCCAGTCCAGTGCCCACCAAACCAGAAGATGCTGGATCAGTGCACAAGGGGAGCCCAGGGGAGAGAGAGCTGGGGGGGAACCTACAAAAACAAGCAGCTGGTGAGCCCACGGGTTTTCCTTCTCCCAGCTGCTGAGTCCTGGACTGCAACAGCAGATTTTAACTACTGTGGAATCAACAGCTTGGTGAGAACAAAGACTTCCTTGTTCTGCTCAAGTGAGGAGAAACTTGGTGCCTCCCACTGACTGCAGCAATAGTTCAGTCACTGACTTCAACCAGAGCAGAGCAACCCCTACATAAAATGTGTGTTCTACCTCAGGTCTGACCTTCTGGAAAACTCCCTGTTCCCTTACAGGCTTATTTTGGGAATGGTGACCCTCAGCAACACCCTGAGCTCCGTGCTGGCTGGAAACGTGGAGTTCTCAGAGCCTGTCACCAAGGTCACCTACGACCAGTTCTCCAAGGTAGCACTGAGGCTGGGGATGCTGTCAGCCCTGTCTGGGGACAGGGAGAGAGGGAGAGGGGCACCACCAGCACCCTGGGGTGTGAGAGGAGCTGGGAGGTCAGTGAGAAGGCAGAGAAGAGTGGGGAGGGTCATGGTGACATCTTGGAGATGAGAGTAAGGACAAGCACCTGTAAAGGCTCTGCTGAGCCAGCAGGGCTCAAATGTTGGAGCTTTTCACACCAGGAGCCAAGCACTGGCAGGGGAGTTCATCCAGCTGGGGAATCAGCACCCTCCAAAATCAGAGCTCAGCCATTGCCAGGGGAAGTAAAACGTTAAAAGTTACATTTTGTCCTGTTAGATCAGCCTGGAGGACAGCCTTGGGAAGCTTTCCTGCATCCTGGAGAACGACCCCTTCGCTATTGTTGTACACGAGCAAATGCACTGTAGGTATCTGCAGAAACTCCCCACGGCCTTGGCACAAGCGTGTGAGAGGGGAAAGGGAAATTCTCAAGCTGACTGTGGCAGGTGTCAGTGCATCTGCTGCACCTGGGCAGCCCCTGAGCCTCTGCACCACGAGGGGTTTCTGCTCTGCAAAGCCCTGGAGCTGCCCACTCCTCACCCACGTCTCCTCCTGACACCACAGAGACCAGGGGAGAGGGGCAAAGCCAGCAAGGGGGAAATTAGGGATCTCTCTAGACTTCTGTAGCCCAGGGAAAGGTCAAAAGGAGCATTTGGCCACACTGGGCAAAGCCTGGGTGGAATTCAGGCACCTAAGTTGAGAAAGCTGAGAAAAACTGGGGTGGGCATGAGCAAGCCCTGTGGTGTGGGTCATCAGGGGCACTGCTGTGTGGGAGCCTTACCTGGACCATGGCTGGGTGTAGGGATGCTGTGCCAGCCTGGGAGCACCATTAAAGGAGGTTTTGTTGGTTTTATTCTCAATCCATTGCACATCTGACCTGGCACACCTTTCCAGTACAATTGCACCAAAAGGAGTACAGATTTGCCCTTGGCTGGGAAAAGTGAACAGCACAAAAAGCAGTCAGAAGAGCCATGTTTAGGTCTTGTGGATTAGAGCTGAAGGGTGTAATGATGCTGATTTGATGGGATTGCACACTGAGCATGCAAAGCATCCCTCAGGTGAGCAGTGGGTGACACTGCCAGCTGCCTGCTCAATGCAGGGCCTCCAAAACCCACCATGCCCAAACATCCCAAACCTTCCCTCTCCAGGACCTGCTCCCCCAGAGCCCCATCAGCCCTGAAGCTTGCAAGTCCATCCACGTTCACACAAAATCTGACACTCAAAACGGCCTTTGATGCACGTTTCCAATTCAGTCACCAAAATTAACACCGGGCAGAATTTCCTTTCTCAGCTATGTTGTCATAAAATAAGGAATATCTCTTTTGTATCACATTTTGATATTAATTAAATGGTATCAGCAAATTAAATGGCACCCATCAAAAAAATATCAGCCAGCTGTCTGCAGCACCTCTTGCTCTGATTTTCAAACACCCACTTGCTTTTCCAGAGCTGCTGTTTTAATGCTGTCACAGTTACCCCCTTATTTATTACTTTCTTCCCACACCTTTGGAGCTTGCATTTTATCTTGTGTTTGGGCTCTGGTGGCTAGTTTTAGTTTTATTTATGAAAACATTTATCAGACAGTTAAAACAATTATTGAAGTGCTGTTTCATTAATGGTGGTGTGGGATGTTATGAGAACAGAGTAGAAAAGTGCCTGAGTGCTGCTTTTAGAGAGTCTCATTAGTTTGCTCTGAAAAGTTCTGTGGTGATAGGAGCAGGACTGGAACAGAGGTTGGCTAAAAACAACTGGGAAATTAAGTTTCCTGCTCTGGGAAAGGTGGGTAATTTGCAACAAAAAACCTCTCTGGTGTGATCACAGTAACCTGACTGAGGCTCCATCATCATTTCTGTGGAGGTAGAGCTCAGACACTGTCCCAGTTAGGTTTTTCTTTTAATAAATGCACAGCAGCCTGTGCACAGCTGGAAGGTGGTGAGGGGCTGGTGGGGGTGGTGGTGTTCTTTTTTATTTATTTTTTGCCACTAAGCTGGAATTTTCTGTGCTTCCAGACAGTGGAAATGGCAGCTCCTCCATGAAGCAGATGGTGTTTGGTGTGGCCACAGCCATGGACCTCCTCACCTTTGTCAGCAGGAATGACAAGAAGTAGCAGAGCAGCTCCTCCAGCAGGTCCAGGTGTGCCCCTGAGCCCAAACCACCTGGCCAAGGGAGCCCCTGGCCCAATCCAGCCAACAGATTCTCAGAATGCTCAGGAGAAAATTGTGATGTATTATATTTGTCTGCCAAATGCCACCCACAGTATTACTAAAGAAATTGTGTTTAACGCCTTGTGTGCTCGCATGGAGCTTCCCAGGGCTGGGCAGGGAATGTGGAGGAGAAGGAGATGATTGTTCCTGCCCAGATTTTAGCAGGAGGAGCTTTGGTGAATGTGCCAGCTGCAGGTACCTGTGTTGGATCTGCTGAGAGTTTTCCTGACCCCTCAGGGCCACAAGAGCAGCAGGGTTGGGGGCAAGTCAGGGCACTGCTGCACCCTTCTGCCCCTCTCTGCCCACCCCAGGCAGGGCTGAGGCACCCCCAGAGCCATTCCTCCTCACCCCTGGGGATGTTTGCCTCCAAAAAGGCAGCAGGAGAGAGTGCAAGTCTTAACTTCTTTTTGCCAGGGTCAGGATTAAAATGCATGAGATGGTATTTCTCGTTTGGAGTCTGATGTTTATTAGTTCTTATCCATATTACAGTCTCACAGAACCTGAGTTCTACAGCACTTCACTCTAACAAACTAAAAATGGAGCCCCATCTCTCTCTCTATAAGGCCTTTTAAGGGTAAACTGTCCAATTAAGAAATGACACCTCAATTATTTCTACTTTTAACCCAATAACCAAGCACTCATGCCTACAATAGGGATTTTTTTTATCCAAATACACAAAATCACCCAAACCCCTGGAGAAGAAGGTGAAGAAGAAGGTGAAGAAGAAGGAGCAGCCTCCACCCTAAAACCTCCATCTTGCTTTATATCTATTCCTGTATTCTAAACCCTTAAACTCTGAGTTTCCCACCCTGTGATATCACACACTTCCATTCAAACTCCACTCGCACAATCCCAGTTCTATCATTCCATTTTGGAAGTCTTCTCCTTCTGCTGCTAAGTGGCTACTTCATAGTCTCAGTCTAATCTAGTTTGTAGGAGACTTTTATTAAGTTATAGAATGCTGAAGTATTTACATTTAGGAAAAGTGTCTCTGCTGTCCATTGTTTCCTGAATGACATGAGCGATTATCAGATTTTCTGAGAGTTTTTGCTTGAGCAATAACCATGTTTGTCCAGAAAAGCAAAAACTGATTAGCTCAACCCTCATCCTAACGTGTTTATTTTAGCAATTCTGCTGCAAAGTGAAGCATGTTAGTCCATGCTTGTGTTCCAAACTCTCACGAGTAAGTCTGAAAGTGCCCCATAACTCCATGTGTTGGAATCTGTGGGTATTGGTGATTCTGAGATTGTAGAAAGTCTCTGTCTTTCTGCCCCGTTGCCAAAGCAGAAGCCATAATTCGTCTGTGCTGGTTTCAAGGTTGTTTATTCTGTTTATCTCTAACATGTTCTGCTGCCCTGCCGCAGCTCTGTCCTGCAGGGCAGCGTGTGGGGCTCTGCCCTCAGTGGGATGTTACAAACATTAAATACCAGAAACTACCTGTGCTGGATTTACAATAATGTGCCAATATCTGTCACCTACGTTGGACAGTGTGTCCCCAGCCTAAACCAACAGAAAAATGCCAACACCACAGTGAAACATGGAGGGCATGAAGAAGGAGAAAAAGGACAAGACACACCCAATTTCCTCCATCTTGTCCCCTTTGGACCCCTAATCTAGAATCCTAAAATTTTACTTTTGCACCCGTGCCACACTTAATTATTACTGATATCAAACACTCAGAGCTTGTAATTCATCCTGTAAGATTGAAAATTCCTCTCCATGGACAGAGATCACAGACAGTGTCTCTTGGGGCTCTGTACAGGGGGGTTCCTGACCCCTGCCAGGGTCCCAGACCTGCCAGGGCAGCCAGAGGGAAGCTCTGGACTCACACATCCATGAAGGCCAGAACTGAGTCTGAACCTGGACCAGCCTGGCTGTTATGGATTAACCCAAAGCCCAGTGCTTCCAGCAGCAGCAGCAGAGCAGCAGCACTGCAGGGCTGCAGGGCAGTGGCTGCCAGCTGCAGACAGACTCCAGGACAAGCAGATGCACTCCAGCAAAGGTGAAGTAACTGCTGAGTATTAACCTCGAATATTTACAACTTCTTCTGTATGCTGCCTATGAGTGTGGGTGCTAATAAAGCTGAGTGAGAGCTCCAGGGGTTCCAGGATTGCTCCAGCTGGGTTGGAGCCAGGCTCCCCAAGGTGCTCCCTTCCCCTGCCCCTGGGGGCTGCTCTTTGCAGGCACATCCCAGAGTGGCACTGCCCTGCCAGGGATGTCGGTGCTGTGTCTCCTGATGTTTGCCATGACCCCAAGGATGTCCCACAGGGACATCAGCAGCCCCACCACCAGCCTGGAGTGCTGGGTTAGGAGTGAGAGGATCTGGCTGTGCCATCCTGCCCACCGTGTCTCTGGTGTGGAAAAGGCCCCAGGAGGCAAGGGAGGAGTTTTCATTTGAGTTGTCTGCAGGAATCCCTGCAGGACCTATAAACACATGCCCATACAGCATCAGTGGCAGGAGCAGCGTGTCCAAATGACCCTCCCAGCACCCTCTGTCCCTTCTCCACACATCCCTAGGCCTGTCCTCTGACAGTGATGACCCCTTCTGGGTAAATGGTCCTTTGAGCTCCTTTTCCTTCCCCTACCATTGACACTCTGTCAATATTTTATGTCTCCATGAGAGGCAGCTGCCCAGCTCAGCACAGCTCGGTGCTCTTAAGCTCTGTTGGGTATGGGAGTTCTGGACCAGAGGGATGGGAGTTTCCAGGCTTCAGGAGGTGGATGAAGGCCAGGCAGCATCCCAGCCCACTGTCCTGGGTGCCATGTCCAGCTCCAGTGCTCCCTCAACCTGCAGGTCCACCCGTGCTCTTCTCCCAACACATCCCACCCCAAAGGGTGCACAGTGTGTGCTCCCAAAACCCTCACTGCCTTCCAGCCCCATCTGCCCCAAAGTGCCTCAGCTCTTCATCCCTCTGTTCTGCAAGGCCAGGGGCACATTTCCAGGGAGCTCATGAGTACATCAGGGAGCTCATGGGTACATCAGGGAGCTCATGGGTACATTTCCACAGCAGGGACCAAATGGCCCAGGCGGGAAGAAGCACGGGCTGCCCGTGCTGGTCATGGCACATGAAACTCCCGTTGTGCATCCTTTTTCTGCTGAGATCCACGGCCTGGGCTCCCTGCAGCTCAATCCAGAGGAAAACTGTGGGAATCCAGAGCTTCCCTCTGGCTGCCCTGGCAGGTCTGGGACCCTGGCAGGGGTCAGGAACCCCCCTGGACAGAGCCCCCAGAGACACTGTCTGTGATCTCTGTCCATGGAAAAGAGTTTTCAATCTTACAGGATGAATTACAAACTCTGAGTGTTTGATATCAGTAATAATTAAGTGTGACACGGGTGCAAAAGTAAAATTTTAGGATTCTAGATTAGGGGTCCAAAGGGGACAAGATGGAGGAAATTGGGTGTGTCTTGTCCTTTTTCTCCTTCTTCATGCCCTCCATGTTTCACTGTGGTGTTGGCATTTTTCTGTTGGTTCAGGCTGGGGACACAGTGTTCAACATAGGTGACAGATATTGGCACGTTATTGTAAATCCAGCACAGGTAGTTTCTGGTATTTAATGTTTGTAACATCCCACTGAGGGCAGAGCCCCACACGCTGCCCTGCAGGACAGAGCTGCGGCAGGGCAGCAGAACATGTTAGAGATAAACAGAATAAACAACCTTGAAACCAGCACAAACGAATTATGGCTTCTTCTTTGGCAACGGGGCAGAAAGACAGAGACTTTTTACAATCTCAGAATCATCAATACCTGCAGATTCCGACAGAAAACAAACCCCAAGTGCTTTAAAGGCTCGTGTCAAGTGTGTGGCAGAGCAGGGCTGCCCTGTCCTGGGAAGGTGTGTGCTCTTAGAAGGTCCACCCAGCTCCTGCATTTTGGGGTGCATCACCCCAGAGCTGGCTGCATTTCAGCTGTGCTGCCTTCCTAGAGCTTTCAACTCATTTTGCTCTCCCTGTGGACTCCCTTATCCTTAGCAATGAAGCACGGGGGGCTGCTGCTGCTTCAGAAACTCTGGTCAAGTTTGCCCAGAGGGGCGTGGGGAGCCAGGACAGCGCTGCAGACGCTGGACACGCCGGATTAGCTCAGACAGAACCAACACCAGGAGCAAGATAAGCATCTCGCTGGCCCTGCCCAGCACCTTGGAGGCTTCCCCGCCTCTCCTTTCCCTCCTCCAGGGTGGGAGCCACATAAATAGAGGTGCCGGCCGGCTCTGGGGCAGGAGCGGGGCTGCCTCCCGAGGTCTGGCAGAGCATCCTGCCCGGCCACCCTGCAGGTAACCGGGAGCGGGGCAGGACCAGCCTGCATCCCCAGAAGGGAGAGGGAGGATGAGCATTTCCCCAGGGAGCAGCAGGAGGATGGTGATGCTGCTCAGTGCAAGGAGAGGTTTTGCTGGAAATTGGCTCCACTGGGTGGGGTCAGATGTTTTGGCAATGAATGGGACTGGTGAGGTTGGGGTGTGGAAAAGCTTCTCACAAGGTTTGGTGATGTTTGGTGGTGGTGTCCTGCTCTGTCTGTGTGGGGTGGGTGAAGCTTGGGGAAGGGAGAGCCTCTCCAGCAGCAGCTTTTCCATGGGAGCATATCTGTGCCAGTCCTTTGGGAATGACACTAAAATACCCACTAGATTAAAATGTGTGAATGAAAGGAAGGGGCAGAACAACCCCAGAAAGGATAAAGCAGGTCTAAGTAACTTAAACTAGCAAAAGCTTGCTTTAAAACCAGAAAAACTTCAAAGTCTTTCTTCTTTTTTATTTTTTTTTTTTCAAATTGATAGCGGAGAGGGTCTGTGCTTTCAAGTTGGTTTCTTTATGGTTATGCAACTTGCAAACGTTTTTTGTTTAAGGAGATGTTAAGAAATAACTGTGAGTAGTTGCATGCCTGCAAGAGTAGGAAATTTGGGCTATCAAAGGTGATGATGCAAATGTAATCAAAGATGGCACTGGGGCAGTGGGAGAAGAGACCAGAGCTGGAAAAACCCCGTGCAGGAAGAAGGAAGGTGTATTTAAAAAGGGCATAAGGACACTCAGACAGAGGGAAGGAATCCAAAAATGCACTTAAAGGAAACACTGGGTCTTGAAAATCTGAAAGAAAAAAAAAAGTCCTCAGCATTTAAACAGGATTCAGCATGGGCTGCCAGGTGCTGTGCATCCAAGGTGTGAGTGGAGAAGGAGGAGGGAGCAGGCACAGGAGGGAATTTCATGCCAGGACTGACTCTCTGAAAACAAGCTCACCAAAATAAATAGAGAAGACAAAGAGCTGAGTCTCACAGGAATGCCCAACATCAGAAACATCTTCCTTAAGAAAAAAAGGTTTTTCCAGTTGAAATAGAGATGGAGTGACCCCCTTGGCTTCCTTTGGAGGAGTGAGGTGGCTGGAAAAGGCAGGCAGTGAGTGGCACAGCAGGACAGGCTGAGACCCAGACCTGGTGCCTGGAGTAGCCACAGGACAAGCCACCAAAGCAGACAGGGCTTCTTCGAGTCCTTCTTCTGTCCAGGCCTTCCAGGAACAATTAATTGGTCATTTAAATGTAAATTATTAGCACCAACTTGAGGGTGAGCAAGTTCCATTTGCTAGTCAGGGCAAGCACGCCCAAGCTCGGTGAGTGCAGAGCCAGGATGGGGTTTTGGGGACGGAGGACACAGCGTTTGAACCAGGATGGGGTTTTGGGGATGGAGGACACAGAGTTCGAGCCAGGATGGGGTTTTGGGGATGGAGGACACAGAGCTCGAGCCAGGATGG